ATTTAAGTGTCACCTAAAGGTTATGATTCATTTGTTTCGCTATTTCCTTAATTTTCTAAATATATTACATTTATTGGGCAGGTGATGCAGTGGTTAGTGTGCGCCCAATGTACAGAGGATGTGGTCCTCCAAGCAGGGGGCCCAGGCTCGAATCCGACCTGTGGCTTCTTTCCCACTCTATCCACTGTCCTATCTCTCCAATAAAGGCCCCAGAAGCCCCCAAAATAAACCTTTAAAAGAGTTTTAATTTAGGGAAAGAGAAAAAAAATCAAAAGGATAATCAATAATGAAAATAATGGGTGCAACACCGCTATATTCAGGGAGGCCAAACCATGAAATACGGGACAAATGAAAGTTATAGTCCTGATGATGTCTTAGCAAACTTATTTTTCCTAATCATATTTCTTTATTGACTAAAAAATGTAAACTGATAAGAAAGTAATTCAGTTATCTTCACCTATGTGCAAAAAGAGATCAAATAATCTGTACAGGAATCAAAGACATTCTTATTTTGTACCCATACAACATCCTAGTGACTACGACTACTTATTTCCCAACCTAAAATAAACTACAACTGTATTTCATTCAAATTTGATACAATTAAATATACTTAAAAACTAAAAAAGGCAACATGTTTACCATGTTTACAAGCCAACCCTTTGTCTTCAGAAAAACTGAACAAATACATCTTCATTATATGAGCACAGGAGAGTGTTCTTCTTCTGTGCTTTCGTCTGAATCTGCATATGAAGATGGATGCAGACTAATTAACAGGGGAAACATGATCAGCTCAGGTCAAAGCAGTAGAACAAAAGCCCATAGCTCAGGTAAATGTAATGAGATATTATACAATGTGTCTGAGCAGGCTGAGATTGATGTGTTCTGACAGAGACAAATAAACAGCACAGTACTCAGACCCTCTCAGCGCCCCGGACCACACTTTTGTTTTTGGTCCATGTATGCATGCTTAAGTTGAGCAATAACTATTTCCAAAGCCTGGTTTCTCACTATATAACCTATCCTGCTCCCCTTTTCCCCCCCACAGACTCTCTGATATCACCTCATTAACGTTTTTTTGCAACTTAAGAACTGAAGCCTCCTTCTCATTTACCACACATTGCGTGATTCTACCTGTTTGTCCCCTCGTACAAGGTCACCTGGGCTTCTCAGGCCTCCATGCTCGTCTCCCCCCTCTTCTATTTTGGCATGCCTGTGCCAGGTATTTGTTCAAATTCCTCATACCCCGCAGGGATAGGTATGTCCCCCCCTCTTCCAGCCGTCCCTCTCTGGTCTTTACTGCCTGTCTCTGTCTATCTTATGTATGCCAGCACATGTATGAAGCGGCCAACATGAGGCGTACAGCCTACACATTTTACTGGCTAGTCACAACTAAATCATTTCCAACTTGTTCAGCCTCTTGGAGCTGGCAAACCACAGCTGTGGGTATGACGCCGGCCGGGCCAAAAACAACTCGGTGGATAACAGGCGACTGTGAGCTGCTTTTGATAACTGCGGAAAGAAAGAGACGTTTATTCTGTGATGTTGTCAGAGGCCACTTATTAGATCCACCAGTTCAACTTTTCCCTGACATGGAAAAATGTTGATACAGGCGATGATCCCGGGTAATTAATTTCCTCTATAACTCAAGCACAGAATCATCACATGAATCACTTGTGTATGTGTGTGTGTGTGTGTGTGTGTGTGTGTGTGTGTGTGTGTGTGTGTGTGTGTGTGTGGGGGGCGCCGTGTGCTTGAACATGAGTCGACGTGGTATTGACATTGGGTCAGAGAGTTGAAGTGCATTAGTTACTGTTGAGCGTCATGAAATGAAAGCAACAATACGCCGCAGTTTGTTTGTCTCTCTGTTCTTCACGCAGAATCCAATCTACAAACTAAATCATAGAGAACCAACTGTGAGAATTTAATTTAACATTCAAACTCTTCAGTTATCCAGTAAATAAGGAAACTGTTCAAATAGAGGGCTCAAAGACAAACATAACATGACTTTTAATTGACTTATTTTGTGTTATAGAGGATTAGACTGGTGAATTTGTTGGTACTCTAAGAAACAAAAACAGCACTTCCTGTAAAGTCTTTGTGAATTCAACTATTTATATTGTACATTAAAAAAAAAACTCTTTAGAGTCAAAAAAGTGAACCTCAAATCTACTGTCATTGAAGGCACCATACAGGTCATTACATTTAAATTCCTCCTTAGCCCTTTATTTATAATTATGTTTAGGTGCTACGATTGCACAGCTCTCTATTTGAATATTTTTTAATCTGAAGGTTTGGACCATACATTCAATACTTCGTTTTAGTATCTCTAATTATAACACATTGTCTTTAGAGCTGACAGAAATAAAAAGGGAAATCATAAAGCCTGCAGACAAACATTTATAGTTTTAGTGTCTCACTTCTTTATTTCCAAAGTTTTATATGAAAAGATGAAGTATGCTTCAAGTGCTTTTACTGAATAAACTCAGGTTTTAAAAATTCATACAAATAAAAATGTTGCCTTCAGAAGCTAATGTCAGAGCTTTATCGATGACTTATACAGCGCCTGATACTGTGCCAAAGAATGATATTAAGATACCATTTATGGACACATTTTTCATGGACTTTGAGGCTTTTTCTGTGAGTTCACATCGAGATTTATGCCTGACTGAGAGGTTTAGAAACCATTAGAGAGCCATCAAACCATACCTAGAATTACTGTAAACCCCCTCACACATGGCTATAAAACACTATTAAAAACACATGCATTACTTTTATCTTTATTTTCAATTCTTATAACAGCACTCAGCAAAAACCGACTGGATTACTCAGTATCCCTTATCATTAAAAAGGGCAAACTGTAGACATCGTGACGTGAATGTTTTCATGACTGACATTTTGCCTTCATATGTTTCTGAGACATTCAGAAACACATTCATTACACAGATTACAAGTATTTCAACCACAACCCCCAACGGATACTCAAATATCTTTCCTGTTATTGCTGTCTAAAGCCTATTATTAATAATGAGAAAATGCTGAACATTATCAAAGTCATTGCTTCATATTTTATATTCTGGTGTTGCTCTGGACCCAGTTCGGGCCAAGAAATACTAAATATTCAGTTCTCTCTGCAGGATGAGCCCCCTCACTCAGCATCCCATCCCACCCCCTTCCCACTCACACACACTCCTCGCTGCTGGACTCACACTCCTCAAACACAGAGAGAGCTGCACTGAGAAGGACAGACCACGGCACGGAAAAGTTACTCTGGCCTTTAACTCCTGCGGGAGAAGAGAAATAATTATTATCATCTTGAGACTGAAGAATCAGAAAATTCAAAATGGGAACAGAGTATTTTCACCAAACAAATCCAAGGAATATTATTTATACAGTGGCTGGGATGAAACTGTATTAAGGTAAGTTTATGGAAACTACATCTGCAGGATAACTGGTTAATCCATCTATCATTTAAATCGTCTACTGTATTCAAGTTACAGCCAATCTGTACTGATTTAGGCCCCACCGTTCTGGAGGCCGTCATTAATAATTTAGATTTTTTTTTTTTTATCTGAATAGTTTTCACATTTTTTTGGCGTGAATATGGCCAAAGGTTTTTATTTAATTTTAAGTTACCTAAAGTTCTTACTTTTTGTTAGCAGTGCTATCTTGAAGTGAGTCAACATAAAGTCCTGATAATTTACATTCTTACGGAATTACTAAGGATTCATTAGAAATTATGCACACACACACACACACACACACACACACACACACACACACACACACACACACACACACACACACACACACACACACACTGGGATATATGATTACAGTTTAGATCAAATAGAAATATATTCAAACAAATGTTCTGACTGTAAAGCTCCAGCTGTTATCTAACGCGGTGAGCAGTGGAGGTTTGGAGGCGCGCGGCTCTGCGGGGGTTTGGCTGCTCCTCCTCAGTTCAACAGTAGCTCTTAACCCCGGAGCAGCCCGGGTCACCATGTGTCACACAGGCCGGTTCTGTCAGCCTCCCCGCGGCTGCTTTGATGTCGGGACAGATTACATGTCTACAGAACCCCATCCGTCTCTGACGAGAAGAAGTATTAAAAGTCTGTCTCACGACCGACAAAATAACACGACTGAAGGGCACGCAGAGTAAACGACGATCTGTAGCTGGCTAAATCTTCAGTTTACATTTTAAACTTGGAAAACATATTAAATTAAGTCGTCAGTCATGTCCGCTTCATTGCGCTGTCCACTGAGTCGGCACATTTCCATGCACCACTCCACATCCAAACCACCGGTGCGTAAATACGCACAAAATCAACCCAGAAATCTAAACAAAAACTTCCCGCATTTGATGTTTTTTCCACAAAATATACAAATCATTCCAAATTATTACACATACTCGTGTCCACTTAACCTGATTGCTGCCCAACTGCTGACCTTAAGGAGGAGCAAGCTTTGGAGGTTTAAATCGAGATTTACAGTCTTCAGTCGGAGCCCTCCTGCCCTGAAAATCCAATTATTTTACTAAAACCATGACAGGCTCGCCTGGCTCCCTGTGAAGCTGTTAAACTGGAATGCCTGTGCCAAACAGAGCAGGTTTCATGCTCAAACATAAACCATTCTGGTTTTGCTGACATTTTCCTTTCTACATGTTTATATGACTTTTATTACTGTATCTGCTGTCAGAATTCACGTGCATATGAATCACTGCGTTAGAGGGATCCCAATCTGCTTACGTTTTTTTTGTCTGTTACTTATGTGTCTTACAAATGAAATCTCCAGAAACAGAGAATATAAAAAGCAGGAATGCACAGGATGGATACTAATACAAAATCCTTTTGTTCTCTTTTTCACATTCTGATTCCTTTTTGATCCAATCCATCCCACCTCCCTCCACTTTCTCCCACTCCCTTACTCTGCATCTGAAAACAGATATTTAACATTTTACTGTTCTTCAAAGTTCATCATTTTATTCAACAATTAACAGCATGGACCTCTCAGGCTCTCTACCTCCACCTTCCCCGTACACCTTTCCTGTTAGCCCCAATGTCTCCGTCCCCCCCTCCTCGCCCTCCATTTCTCCGTCACCCAGCCTGGCCTCCACTGCTCTCTTCTGCTCCCTCCTCTCCCTCCTCTCCCTGCTGGGCATCACAGGGAACCTGTACACTTTGGGCCTCCTCCTGAGGCGCAGAAGGAGCAGGAGGAGACGTGGAGCTGGACCGACCTGCTGCCTAATGAGAGTGCCTGTACCATCCTGCCTAGCCAACACCTCCTCCCCTTCCTCCTCCCCCATCTCCTCTACCTCCTCCTCCTCCTCCCTTCATCTCCAGGTGTTGAGCCTCGCTCTCGCTGACCTGCTCTACCTTTTTACTGCTCCCTTCATTGTATACGACAGCTTGGCGTCTGGTTGGGCCTTTGGTGAGCTGGGCTGTCGCCTCCTCCTGAGCCTGGACCTCCTCACCATGCACGCCTCCATCTTCACACTCACAGCAATGAGTCTAGACCGCTACCGGGCTGTGGCTCATCCCCTGCACACCTCCTCCTCTAACTCCTCGGGCCTGCTGCGGGTGGGTCTGGCCTGGGGGCTGGCGGTGGCCCTCAGTCTTCCTATGATGATCACGCTGCACCTGGAGGATGGGGAGAACCAGGAGGGCCAGCTGTGTGTGCCAGCATGGGATGAGCAGAGTTCAAAAGCCTACATGAGCGTGCTCTTCTGCACCAGTATCCTGGGGCCTGGGCTGGCCATCGGAGCACTCTATGCCACTCTAGGCCGACTGTACTGGGTGTCTCAGACCAGGCCGGCCTGGGCCACCGGGAGCAGCGCCGCTTATCCTCCCCGTGCCCCCAAACCTAAAGTTCTGCTCCTCATCCTTGGGATTGTCCTGGCCTTTTGGGCCTGCTTCCTGCCTTTCTGGATTTGGCAGCTGCTGCCTCTCTACAAGCCCGACATGCTGCCGACGGTTCCTGTCGGGACGCAGGTGACAGTGAATCGTATCCTCACAGGGCTTACCTACGGAAACTCCTGCGTGAATCCATTTTTCTACACGCTGTTGACTGGAAAACGCAGACGCAACAGACAGACGATGACATCAGCAAATCAGCTCTGTCGTAAGAGCAGTCCGCTGCAATAGTGTGTGTCTCTCTTTTAGCAGAGACAATAACAAGAGTGTGAAAAGGTACCTTTAATGAAAGCCTAATGAGTTTCACAATAGGCACCAAAGACTAGTTGTTTTCCTAGTGTGTAAATTAAGGAAAAAAGAACAATACTCAGCCAATGATAGCACTTTGTACTGATGCTTTGTGTAATAAGTCTGACTAGGGTTGTCATAATGCCAGGATTTTAAACTTCTGTAAGATACTAGTAAAAATCTAACAAATCACGATACTTTTTTTGATACCGCAGCAACATAAATATAAGACCTAGGCAACCAACATTGGGTAATTTCCTTGTTTGATTGCAAGCAACCTCCTGCACACTGTCTAAACTGCACAAATACATGGTCAATGTTTTGGCATTAAAACGTTACCAATGAATTTGTGCAATTTACAGTGTAAATTCCTCTGATCTATATTTATTGTAAGATACATCAGTGTAACTTGAGAAATGTCAGTATGTGAGTATTTGCTGACCTGTGAATTTGAGTGGACCTCACTTGCGCTCTCTCTTTCTCGCTGCAACATCATGTCTGACAATCATTAAGACAATCTCTGTAAGATGTGCCGCCTTAAAGAATGCATTATCTGCAAACCTATTGTAAATGTTGGTGGCCATATCCAAAGTGTGTCTTTGATTGCTGTAGTAACCAAGTTTACATCTGTGTAGTGTATTAGGCGAGTTATTCAGCATGTTGCTCGTGCACAATCATTTCCAGTAAAACCCTGATGCACTTCTGCTTGTTTTCAGATGTTTTGTTTTTGAACAACTGGTTGTGTCTGCTCAGGACCTCTACGGGATAGTTCTCTGACACTTTGTTTGTTGACTCAATAAATTATGTCTGAGCGGGTCAACAGTCTTTTGTTTGCTTCTCCTGAACATTGATAAATCTAAAACAACAGATTTATTTTATAATCTCGGCCTGCATGTTGGGTTTGAAAATGTACTTTTTATTGTTTTGACTCATGCAAAGCTCTGCATGGCCTCGCCTTGAGTTGATTGTAATTTTTTTTTTTTATAATGATGCATAATATATAACCTTGAATAAAGAGTGTGTCATTCATTCTGGGATTTGATCTTAAACCAGCCAAAAAGAAGACAAGGTCGCCTCCTTTAGGTCTTGCAAAAAGAACACAACCCAACTAAAGAGTAGAAACCTCAGAAATAATACTCAAAACGTGATACTAGAGGCTAAAAAGGAGTTGTACATTCTGTTGTAGGCTAAATAAGACAATCATCTGAAGGTTCTTAGTGCAGACTAATCCTTGACTTTGTCTTATTCTTGTGTTTGTGTGTCTGTGTCAGCATGTCAGTGTCTCTCGAGGGTCTTCCCCGCTCTTGTGTACACACTCTCCGGCTGGTGTCTCTGTGTCTCCCTGCAGCAGCGTCCTGTCTCTGACTGACTCAAAGGCTGTACTGTACTCTATCGCAGACCCCGCTGCTCTTTGACGCAGATGAGCAAATATTGTTGTTTGAAGGATAGGGAGGGGATGATGGGATGGACTGGTATCATATGAGAATGGTGCTATGTTCAGAAACAGAGTGTTCTTCTCTGGGGAGAAGTCGTTGGGGTCTAAGGTGTTGAGCACGTAAATTTAATGTCTCTGGTTTAAAACTGGTGGTGGACTTTATTTGCATGTTATCTCCCCCCCCCCCCGCCGACAGCTTAACTGCTGACTGCTAATAAAGAAAAGGTATTTTGTTAACTTCCCTATCATGTCTTCCTAACATCTAACATTGTAACAGCTGGCTTAATAACTTGCTATTTATTTATATTTTCATTTAATTATGTGTAGATCTAATTCAGTTCACATTGTCTGTTATTAAAATCTGACAGCACATCTGCATTAGTGCTAAATTATGAAACATTTTCCTTAAAGGGTATGCACTGCTTTAAAAAAATGCAAATAAATGAGAACTTCAAATGTCGACTCAAATTCAGATAGAGCAGATACAGAAGTAGCTCTTATCCATCCAGTTATATTATTCATCACTGCTTGGTCAGACTGTCTCAGGGGACATATCCCAGTCAAGGTATTTTTCTTTGTCCAGCCAAATCCCACAGCAGGATCATTGAGCTGTGTTAATTGAGTGTAACTGTGTTTTGATTTGACATTCAGTAATGTCTGTGAGAACATAATCCTCAGGTAATTATGTCTTTGAGTGACTTGATGTAAAATGAGACTTGAATAACAGAAGGAAAGCAACCTTCAAATGTGGGTTTATTTATTTGCACATAAAGTGCACACATGTCGGTACATTAACTGAGTAAAAAGAAAACCTGAGGGTTGCTGGAGAAGGCACGCAGCACTGCAAGGCTTTTACCGACTGGCTCAAGAGAGACTCATACCAAAAGCATTTGCCAGGGGAGCTGCTGCATTTCTCTTCACTGTGATGCCATTATTTCTTCGTCTGTAGTCTTTGCGGCCTGCCATGTGTTTCGAGTTACCTGGCCCTGCTACCTCTGAGCAATACGTTCCCACTGCAGTTATTATCTGGAGCCCAGCGCGCTCGCACCACAGGGGGTGCTTCTGTTGGGGAGTTAATGCAATAGCCATCCAGTGTTCACAGACAGCCGAGGCCCTCTCAGAACATTTGTCCATTTAAAAGGAATTTCTCTCAGACAAAGAGTCAGCACCGTATATGATCAAAATCATAAGCCTTCATATGAGACACAGTGATTTTTTGACCCCTGGGTCATACCAAAATGACACATGATGTAGGGTGTAGCTTGTGTAAAGATGAATCCTTTCCAAAAAGGACACTCTTAGCAGCAGCATGGATATTTAAGCACAGAGGGCTTATTTTTCAATTTTCGGAGTCCGCACGCTGGACAGGTTTTGGGTGTCTGAGTTCTAAAACTCAATATATCAGATGATTAAGTCCTGCCTCAGGTCGGCGGGGATGACTCAGTGTTTGATAAACTACAAATGCACGATGTTTGGTCAGCTTCACCAAATGGATGGAAAATATTGTCTCACATGGCAGGCTGGAGGATCTATAAACTTTGCGTTGTTTGTGTTGGTAAATGCCAGCACCGGCAGACTTGCTCCAATCATAACTTTAGTCCTCCTGTGCAAGAGAAGCTTCTGATTTCATCCTGAGATTGAAAATCAAAGTCTGCAGGGAAAACACAAGGACAAATGTTTTCTTTTGGGTGCGTCACTCTGTTCTACCTGAGGATTTCCAGCACATGTCCGTTTCCTGGAACCACCAAGCATCTTTCCATCCTTGTAACCCCCCCCCCCCCCCCCCTTCAACCTCGCTCCGCCTGTCAGCCCTCCTCTTGACCAGTGTGTGAGGCCGCTACAGGTGCCCCTCCCCTGAGCAGACCGCTCAGGAAAACACCCCACTGTGCAGACGAGACGAGGCCGCAGCCTGCGCCAAATTCATGCTGTGAGGTGTATTAGAGGCTCCCATTCTCCCCAGACATACACAAAAAGATTCCCCACACACTCCTCCGCCTGCCCTCCTCCAAACTTCAATCTCTCCATCTGTTTTCCCTCTCTCAATCACTTTTTGTCCCCTACACTTTCACTCTAACCACTGTATCATTTCTCTGCATGAGCACCTTATATAATGTTAATGTGAAAACGTAACCACAACTTCTCTGCATTTTGAAGGCAAAACATTTTGAGTCTTATCTTACTGTTAGATCCAAGAAATCAAATTGTCGTCTTTAAGTTCTCTTAAACTTCCAGCTCTAAACTCCTGTAACATCCCACCATCATTTATCAAAGACTATCTTTCAAGTTTTATTATACGGGCCCATGTTGCCAATACAGTATTAAAGAAAACAGTTTGTAATCACTGGTTTGACGACAAATACAGAAACCTCAGAGCTCACAGTGTTTCTTTGTTCAACCCCTGGCTGCCCCACCATGAGGCGCCCTCCTCCCCATCACGTCCCCTGACTTTGCACCTCAGTGTCAGCCGCCAGTATCAGGTGAGACTCAGGCCTGCCTGCCCCGAAGGCCGGAGGTTACATCAACCGACATACACATTACGGTTAACACTGAGGCTCCTTACCAGGAATGACAGTAAATATGGAGCACCTGCCCCTCTCACTGCTTTGCATCTCCTCCCTGGGTTTTACTGTTTTTACGTTCTCCTACTCCTCCCTCTCCCCCTCCTGGCATGCTGCCTGTAAACAGTCATCTCTGTCAACTCAGGTGTCAAAGCCCCCTGACCTCTGACCTATTAACGCTTCACTCATCTGTACCCCATGGTTTGTTATGTCTGAGGAAGGACATTATGAATTTCAATGACACATATTAGAGTAAAAGTCTAGCCTATTACCATATGTATCAGAGCCGATTGCTGCTCAACACAATTCGCCATAAAAAGTTATTTTTTGCATTAATTTTAGGCAAAAATACGAACCATTTTCAGCTCTTCAAATTGAAAGATTTGCAAATGTTGTTGGTCTTTTGCAACCCAAAGGTGACATTTTTTGCGCTATGGATTACACGTCCCACGAGGCAAGACATTTTAATACATCACCTTGGACATTAGGAAACATACATAATAGGAATTGTAAGAATTATATCAAACATAATAAAGAACATTAACTCTACATAAATCATGTTCTGTGCAATTTTGATGTATACAAATACTATATGAAATGTGTTGAGTTTTCCAAAACATCTACCTGCATGCCCTGTCACCTTTGACAGCGCATGCAGGTAGATGTTTTGGAACTTCAAACAAAGAATGGCAGCCATTAATATATGTATATATATATTTTTAAACTATATCAATGTTTAGAACCTGATGGTGGTTTAGTCTGGCAGGGAAATAATAGAGCATCACTTCTGTAACTCAGAGTGAAGAGTGAAGAGTTAACAGGATGGTCTTAAAGTCACATTAAGAGTTAGAATGCCCCCTAGAGGTGAAACAGAAGACTGAACCTGTCTTTCCTTTTTATTTGATTACTTCATTCAAATCAATGAATGAGTAGCACTATAGCAAACAACA